GGGAGAGCAGATGGGGAAAAGATGCTTCCACAGCAGGCCTGTAGGGGAAGTGGAGTTGAGAAGGTTGCTGGGAAGAACAAGAAGCAGATCCTGCAATAAGTCTTTAGGGCTATAAAAAGCAAGATTGTTAGCTCCAAGGACTTCACATTGCTAGGCTGAGAGCAAGGCTGGAGGACAAAGTCCTGCCCTGTAAGGTAGCAGCTGCAAGATTCACTGTCATATCTTTTCACTTTCACGCAGTTCTTTATTGCTCTTCCATCCAACAGAGATGAGTTTCCTGTCCTTCAGAACTTAGCCAATTCTAATTTAAGCTCTAATAAAACAGTTTTACATACTGAAAACCCTTTTGACAGCCTCACCTTCAAGTTAAAGGTCTGCCTCAAAGCTCTGGCTTGCAGATTCCCGTCATATCACCTCCAATGACTGTAGGCAGTGTTGTTTTCCTGCTTGTCTTTCTTGCTCTGGGTATTCATACATAGGCTGTGACTAAGTTTTTAAAATCTTTCATACAGACTGATGCCACCTTATTTCTGTTAGTAAAATATCCTTTTTGATACACATGATCTTACCGTCTTAAAGTTGGTCCAAAGATTTTTCCTGTGATAATTTATCACTTTCACCATGCTGCCCTAATTTTGTATTTTTAAATCTGTCTTGGCTCCCTCTTGTCTTTACGAAACATGTAAGCCTGTCAAGTGAAGGCTAAAAGCTTATCAGGGGAACCTTCACCTCTGGTGAAGCAACCAAAAGGCTGACTCCAGTTCTGATTTGCCTATGATACCAGACTTGACTGCTGGCCTGATATATTTTCAGGTGCGTAAATGTGCTGTGTTCCAAGCTTCCCATCATAGAAAGCTATCTCATTTTCTTTCTTGGCACTTGCCCTTGAAATTTGGGTTGTGATGATGCTTGCAGACATCTGAATGACTACTTTGGGCCCACTGTTGTGGCGGCTTATGTTATCACCTTGTTCCCTTTAACTTCTTCATCTGCCAGAGCTCCAGTTACGGGTTGTATTTCAATCATGTGGTATCTTTGTAGTATCGTACTGCCATCCTGACCTGCACAAATACATCTTTCACAGAATATTCTGAGTTGGAAGGGACCCACAAGGGTTACAGAGTCCAGCTCATAAGTGAATGTCGCCTATGGGGATCCAACCCACAGCCTTGGCATTATTAGCACTGTGCTGTAATTTGACTGAGCTAATTTCAGGTTCTAAGCAGCAAAGGAGGCAACTGGTGTCAGCCCAAGTATCTAAAAGACAGCTCTTAATTGTCTGAATAGAGAACAGAGATGGATCCTTGCAGATGTTTAGGTGAGATCTATCTCTGTATTGCTAAAACATCATCACCATTCTGGCATGATTTAAAATAATCCCGAATGAAAAGAAAAATAAAACCCGTAACATTAAACCCTACAGATTTCCAGTGGAAGTTAATGAGCGGCAGCTCTGAATCCTTTGGTAAAATTCAGCTGGCTATAATGGCGTGAAGCCTTCCTGCCTGAGGATTCTTCTACCAACTACCATTGGTGGTACAGTTTTTTAAAGGAAAAGGCAGTGACAAGAGCTCTCTGCTTTCTGAATGCCATACAGTAATCGCAAAAGGAGAGAGATGTGAGTGAGAAAGGGAGAGAATGTGGGAAGAAACTCTGTGAAATATTTTTTTTGGTATTTACTGGTTACAGTTTTTCTATGTGTAGATTTTCGAAGTCAGTTTTCTTTACAATCAGATGTCATCAGTCATTTTCTTTTGTCTGCTCCTTCCTACTTTCCCTGTTATGGATTGCAATTGCATTTTTATGGGAGAAAAATAATCCTAAATTAACTTTTCTGATGTTTGCTATCATTAGATGGACTAAGTGACATAAATAAGAGGCAAGTTATGCCCAAAGATAATCCTCAAAAAAATCTAATTTTGAGTAGAACTTTCATGGGCTTGGTAGACCTCTAGAAACAAAGCTTTCCAGAGCTCTGTAAAAATCAGCAGTGAGGGAAGTGAGTGGGAAAGTGAAGCCTGGGGGTCACTTGGTAGAGGGAATCAATGGGTGGAAACACCCCTGGAAAGACTGACTGTAGAAGCAGCTATAGAATGACTGTTTTGAGGCAGGAATGAAGAGGTGTTTGTTTCTGTTGACAACCAGCATTTGGCTGTTCATTGTTTTTGCTTTGTATTTTATACTCTGTATTAGAAATGAAAGTTTAGTAGTGTGTATAGTGTGCATACCTCTGCAAAGGGAGAGAAAATAAATATTAATCTCAAACCCTTAAAATATTTATTTTTATATGTTAGGTATATATGATGGATCAGATTGCTTTCAGAAGATATTAATAGGATGTCTTTGCAGTTATTTTAAGCTGGCTGACCATAGCTGGGACTATCAGCAGGGCTTGAGGGCTTTAGATAGTTACATGGAAAGCGTGCAAAGCTGGTAATAAAATAACTAGTTTACCTAACCTCTTCTTATTTATTCATACAGTCGTGCTTGTATTTTGATGCCATTATTTAATCCAGATGATTATGTGTGACTATTATTTCATTTGTTTGGGATTTTTTTCAGCTTGGGGATTTTCTTGGTTTTTTTTTTTCGGATTAATGTATTTGTGTAGAATCAATGCTGGAAATATGAGAGACTGCAATTTGTGGAGAATTTGGCCTTCTGGGTTGCTTTAAAATTATACCATTTGTTCCATTGGCATCAATATACAGCAAAATAGGAACTTACAGAATTAAAACATAGTGATAAATTTACCATTTCCATTAAAACTGCTTAAAGTCATGCTGAAGCTGAAAAAGAAATGTTTAAGTCTAATTTAATTTTAAGGTATGCAGTTAATTAATACTCTACATCCATTAGCATTCAAAAATGAAAGTATCTGCAGAACCACTATTCCCTGGAGTAATTTGTCACCAGAAATAAAACGTCTGCCTTTGAACTGAGGTAGCTTTTGGGTAATGCTGTGAGCAGAGGATCCCATCTTAATGATACAGACTAATCCAGAAAAGTGAGCTTCAGGTTTGTTGCATTGATATCTCACCATTATAAAAACAATTCTAGTTGTGTCAGGTACTGTTGGGACAGCAGATACCTTCTTTGCTAAGTGACAGAAACTACCAGCAATTTTAAATTACTGACTAGAGCACGATAGTTGTGCATGTCCAAAAGTGCTTCCCAGATTAGAAGATGTTCACAGCGTGTTTCTTGATAAAAAAAGATGCTTTTTCTGTTTACATGGGGTATTGGTTCTTTATACTATGATGTGAGCTCTCTTTTCAAACAGTGAATAAATATTAGAAAGAGGCAACAAAGATATGATGAGATGCACAGCAAAGGCAACACCACATACTTTGTTCCCCCACATGCCTCCTTCCTCTTTCTATTCCTCTACCTCTGGTGTAGCCTTTGCATTATTAGTTTCAATCTTGCGGTACTTACTACAAGGTGTGGCATTCCCACTGCAGCTATTTTTGCTTATAAACCCTGTTTAATGCAGTAAGTGAGGATTTGGGTCAGCGGATTGTCAGCATTGTTGGGCAGTGTTTGCCAAGTGACAGCATATTCTAGGGGTGCAAATATGCCAGCTGAATTTTTTGTTCTCTGTACAGTTTTTGTGCAACAGAATCTTAAGACACGATAATAGGTCTCTTAATTATTCCCCCTGCAATGGTGTTAATAAAGAAAATATTTTATTTTTTTCAGGACTTACTGTTCTTCTGTGCTACCATAACCTTAATAAAGCCAGTGTTAAATTGCTGCTTGACTGGACAAAGGAGCTGTGATTTTTCTTCCGCTTAATTTGTTTGAGTTCGAAAGGATGATTTGACTTCTGATCATGTGAAAAGCATTTCATAGCATACTGGAAAGCTGTCTGGTTTTGTATCTAACAGACTTAACAGCATGGTTGGCAACAGACGGATAATGGAAGGCTAATGAATAATGAAAAGCTGAGTGATTGAAATAGCAGAGCTGTAGGGAGAGAAGAGGGAAAGCTGGGAAGGAAAATGGAAAAAACAAACAGTACTGAAGTAAGGAATAACCAGTATTTTGATCAGTATCAGGGAATGTCTTCACATCAGAATTCAACCCAGTCATAACTTAAGCATTCTCCATCTGCCAGCTCACAAAAGCTTTTAACTTCTGCACCATGACACATTTTGTACAAGTCACTCAGCTTGCCTTGAGGAAGAGAAGGGTAGATTGAAATTTAAATATTTTTCAACTGCTAAGATGATGACTACTCTACAGTAACCTTCTCGATTGCCATTAATTGTCTGGTGCATTCCCAAATTCCTACCAGAGTGAGTGTGCTTAGCATCTCAAAGTCTACTGCAGAAAACAGAGTAGAGCAATGGCATTGGAAGCCATCAGCTGTACAGAGACACATTGCAACACTTAGTTTGTATTTAGACATCAGTGAAGACATCTCTCTTTTGGTAACAAGGGGTAACTCCCTTTTCATGGCATTCACTCTTCAGATATCCAGCAGGGAGGAAGAGCTCTTACTCACTGCTAACCAGTCTCTCTAGATGAAATATAGTCTCTAGAGTGACTGCACCTTAAGAAAGATTCCTCTGTAAATATAACAAGAGTTACTGGGGATAAGACTTAACTCCGGGTGTCAAAAGTGAGAAGACTATCTCCTGATGTTAAAAGAGGATGGCTCACTAGCAGTTTGATATTCCCGATGTTTGTGTTTGTATATGTGCATTAGCATGGAAGAAGTCAGCTCCTATTAATCTCCGCACACTGCCAGTTGTGGCTGAGCCTGGTGGTGCAAGGCTTGCTCTTACACTTGTTTTCATGGTAAGAATTACAGAGTAGGAGCTGAGTTAGCACTGTGTTTCCTGCTACATCTTCTCATGTCTTTTTGCAATGACAAACGGAAAAAGATCTACTACTTTCTCATTATAACTTACTACTTTTCCTTTTCCTGAGCTCTGATATCACTGAAAAATGAATAATACTGTAAATACTGTCCTTTCTTTTTTTCTTTGCAGAATCTGTACCAAAACAGGTTCCTGGGCCTGGCAGCCATGGCGTCTCCATCTAGAAACTCACAAAATCGACGCCGGTGCAAAGAGCCTCTCAGATACAGCTATAACCCTGACCAGTTCCATAACATGGACATCAGGAACAATTCCCATGAGACAGTCACCATTCCTAGGTCTACCAGTGACACAGACCTTGTCACTTCAGACAGCCGGTCCACACTGATGGTCAGCAGCTCCTACTACTCCATTGGGCATTCGCAGGACCTAGTGATATACTGGGATATAAAAGAGGAAGTGGATGCAGGGGACTGGATTGGCATGTATCTCATAGGTGAGTCCCCCTTACCCCTTCCCCTTTGGGTTTCTTGCTGCTTTTGATAGCTGTAGGTGTTAAGGTACTATGGGTTAATGGTGATGATGAGCTGATACAGCTCCCTTAAGTGTAGTCTTTAAGTGGGTTCATATATTACAAAAATTTTTTCTGCTCCTGAATTGCTGGTTGCAGTCCTTGCGCTCACTTTTTCTTCAGCAAAGATACAAAAAGGCTTTCTGTTGATGGTTTCATGACATTTAAAGATAAATTCATTTTAAAGCCATTTGGATGTTGGGAAAATACCTCCCATACAAAGGCATAAAATATTTTCAGGGTTTCCTCTTGAACATCCTTTAGTAGTCTGTGACAGATTACGAGTCAAGAATATGAATCATTTAAAAACCTTGCAAGAATGACTTTTTCTCTATAGCCACAGGATATTTAGATATGAACAATAATTATAGACTGAGGCAGTCTGGAGTTGTCCCAGAAAGTTTTGCTTTTTTTTGCCTTTTATTGTGTATTGGAAGCTCAGTTGAGCCATGCACATTACCATATATTTGGCAACTCCATCTAGTAAATCCAATCCCATAAGAGTAATAAATGGTTTCAATTCACTTTTACCTGATTGTTCCACTTCAGTATAAAATTAGCTTTTTTTTTTAACCTGGTTTGGTTCCTATGGAAATAGTCCTGCTGCTGAGACTGGAGTGTGTGTTAACTCTTTGCCCTCTGGTAAATTTTGAGCATGGTGAATCAGTTTCAGACACATTCCTCTGTGTATTAGGGGGTCGTAATAATCTGCAGTTCTAAAGTGTTTCTTGAAAATTAGTGACTTGGTAAAGAAGATTGACTCCAATTGGTGCCCCCACAAAGGGAAATGTTGGTAAAACACTTTCCTTATCTATTTGGAAGGTATGCCTAGCAGTTGTAGTTCCAACAGCACTGCTCAGATAGTGAACCAAAACCAGATAACGCATATGATGCTGTGAGATGGGCTTTTGGAGCAGTCATAAGGGACATCTTAGGGAGCCATGGTGTTACTGAAGTACTTTAGTGGGTAAAACCAGATGGCTTGACATCATGTGCTGAAGATATTGGGAACACAAATGTTAGTGATGTAGGGGATGTCTGAGAAGGTACTAGGTAGGAGGTCTGAACATATAGAAGAACACTGGTGGCAAGGCGTTAGGTACATGAAATAAGTTCAGGATATTGGAAAGATTGGAAGAAGGGGTACACAAGGTTGGTTATTTAGGACATGGAGGGAAAGGAGTGGAAGTTACAGTAAGCCAGGCTGCAGTACTTGTTCCCGTGAGTAACCTTAAAAAATACTCTGCTTTGAAAATAAAAGTAGGCTTCTGAAATTTAAATCTTTCAGGAAAAAAGCAGAGACTGGATTTAAAACAGATGCTTTGAAAGCAGTCTGGTTTGTTGGCCTTAACAGAGTATTACTTGTGTTTACGGTTAAGCTTGAAATGGAGTGTTTTACTGGAACAGATGAGAAGACCCAGGAGCCCCCAGTATTGGACACTAAGAAATACTGTAAGCCTATTCTGCAGTAGTGCAGGCAACTTATGAATGTATTGCCTCAGTAGAAAGAGGCAAAGCATACCTTCTGGTGGTCTGCATAGAGCTGTTTCATACTGACTGAACTTGTTCAGCCAGGTTTCGTAGCTCAGATGTTGCATCCAGGGCTGTGAAAACACATTGTAAGTTGGTTGGGTTTTTTTTGATAGGCAACCTGAATACATAGAGTTTTAACTGGGAAAAATAAAAATATACCCTGGTACTCCTGCTTAATTTACTGCATCAAACTACTGCATTCCCAGACACCCCAGTAAATTACAAGTGCAGATTTTGAAGTGTATCCTTGCCCCTGCTGGCTGAATGCCTGTTGTTTATGACAATAGTTAATGGCTTGTTCCAACGAACTCCGATGCCAAATGAAAACTGAATAGTGTGCCTAGTCCCCAAGAAACCAATAGTTGACCCTTGATGGCTTTGAAGGTGTTTTATTTCCAGGCTCTCAGGTTCCCACTCTAACTAACTGAGAAAATAGCAGGCAGTAGCACCCCTCATTCCCTTTTTGTCTTCCTTTCCCTTCTTCCTACCACTGCAAACCTCGTGTAAGACGAGTTTTGTTTTGGTTCCCTTTAAAGAACATGGGCCACTGTGAAGATCGGTCGGGTTTTGGTGTTAGTTTGACATGGAAAACACTCAGAATTTATGAACATAACTAGCACTGTGGCTATATCCACTTTTACAAGTGGATACAGTAGGAATGGTTCTGTAGAAGCAAACATCTGATGAAGGCTTGGCTTTAGAACAGACTCAGTCTGGCAAACTAGGTTTGAAGGGGGAAGGGATTGAAACCAGGCTTTCCAGAGAGGAGCCTAAGGATGGAAAGCCCGAGTTAGAAGTGAAATCAGCAGCCCAGCTGAAGTGATATACACCAATGCACACAGCATGGGTAACAAACAAGAGGAGCTGGAAGCCATCGTGCAGCAGAAAACCTGTGATGTAGTCACCATTAAGGAAACGTGGTGGAATGACTCGCATGACTGGAGTGCTGCCATGGGTGGCTACAGGCTCTTCAAAAGGGACAGGCAAGGTAGGAGAGGTGGAGGGGTGGCTCTGTATGTTAGAGAGTCTCTTGACTCTGTAGAACTTGAAGTCAGTAACAATAAGGTTGAGTGCCTGTGGGTCAAAATCAGGGGGAAGGCCAACAGGGCTGATATCCTGGTGGGAGTCTGTTATAGACCACCCAACCAGGATGATGAGGGTGATGAATTACTCTACAAGCAGCTGGCGGATGTCTCAAAATCGCCAGCCCTTGTTCTCGTGGGTGACTTTAGCCTGCTGGATGTCTGCTGGGAACTCCACACAGCGGACAAGAAGCAGTCTAGGAGATTCCTAGAGTGTATAGAGGATAATTTCCTATGCCAGCTGGTAAATGAGCCTACCAGGGATGGGGCCCTGCTAGACCTGGCGTTCACAGAGAGGGGCTGGTGGGAGATGTGGTGGTTGGAGGCCATCTGGGACACAGTGACTATGAAATAATAGTTTTCAACACTCAGGGATGCAAGGAGGGCCATCAATAAAAACTCTAAGCTGGACTTCCGGAGGGCAGATTTCGTCCTAATCACAAGACTAGTTCCGAGTGTACCCTGGGAAACAACCCTCAAAAACAAAGGGGTCCAGGAGGGATGGACATGCTTCAAGAAGGAAGTCTTGAAAGCACAGGAGCAGGCTGTCCCAGTCTGCTGAAAGGCAAGCCGGCAGGGAAGATGACCGGTCTGGCTGAACAGGGAGATTTTGAAGGAAGTTAGGATAAAAAAGAGAGCCTACTGATTATGGAAAAAAGGGCTGGCTACTCAGGAAGAGTTTAGGAATATAGTTATGCCATGTAGAAAGAAAATTAGAGAGGCAAAGGCACAACTTGAACTGAATCTCGCCACCTCTGTGAAGGATAACAAAAAGTCCTTCTACAGATACATCGATAGCAAAAGGAGGGGCAAGGAAAACCTCCATTCTTTATTGGACATGGACAGGAATATAATTATCAAAGATGAGGAAAAGGCTGAGGTATTTAACACCTTCTTTACCTCAGTTTTCAACAGTAAGACAGGTTGTCCTTAGGACAGCTGGCTTCTGAAGCTTGTAGAAAGAGATAAGAATCTGAATAGCCCCTCTGTAATCCGGCAGGAAACCATTAGCGACCTGCTGAGCCACTTGGATCCCCACAAATCTATGGAACCAGATGGGATCCACCCAAGGGTGATGAGAGAGCTGGCAGAAGAGCTCACCAAGCCACTGTCCATCATCTACCAACAGTCCTGGCTCACTGAGGAGGTCCCAGATGACTGGAAATTGGTGAATGTCACGCCCATCCACAAAAAGGGCTGGAAGGAGGACCTGGGAAACTACAGGCCCGTCAGCCTGACCTCAGTGCCTGGCAAGGTTATGGAGCAGTTCATCCTAAGTGCAATCACACAGCACCTACAGGATGGACAAGGATCAGACCCAACCAGCATGGGTTTAGGAAGGGCAGGTCCTGTCTGACCAAGCTCATCTCCTTTTATGATCAGGTGACCCGCCTGGTGGATGAGGGGAAGGCTGTGGATGTGTCTACCTGGACTTCAGCAAAGCTTTTGACACCGTCTCCTATAGCATACTCCTGAAAAAAAAGCTGGCAGGCCATGGCTTGGACAGGGACACTCTGTGCTGGGTCAGGAACTGGCTGGAGGGCCAGGCCCGGAGAGTGGTGGTGAACGGGGCTGCATCCAGTTGGTGGCTGGTCACCAGTGGTGTCCCCCAGGGATCAGTGTTGGACCCAGTTCTGTTTAATATCTTTACTGATGATTTAGATGACAGGATTGAGTCCACGGTCAGTAAATTTGCAGATGACACTAAGTCAAGGGGGAGTGTCGAACAGCTGGAAGGCAGGAGGGCTCTTCAGGGGGACCCGGACAGGCTGGAGAGTTGGGCTGATTCTAATGGGATGAAGTTCAACAAGGCCAAGTGCCGGGTCCTGCACTTTGGCCACAACAACCCCCTGCAGCGCTACAGGCTGGGCACAGAGTGACTAGAGAGCAGCCAGGCAGAAAGGGACCTGGGAGTTTGGATTGAGAGGAAGCTGAACATGAGCCAGCAGTGTGCCCAGGTGACCAAGAAGGCCAATGGCATCCTGGCCTGGATCAGGAACAGTGTGGCCAGCAGGACCAGGGAAATGGTTCTTCCCCTGTACTCAGCACTGGAGTACTGTGTCCAGCTCTGGGCCTCTCAGTTCAGGAAGGGTATTGAGGTGCTGGAGGAGGTCCAGAGAAGAGCAACAAGGCTGGTGAAGGGACTCGAGCACAGGTCCTATGAGGAGAGGCTGAGGGAGCTGGGGTTGTTCAGCCTGGAGAAGAGGAGGCTCAGGGGAGACCTCATGACTCTCTACAACTCCCTGAAAGGAGGTTGTAGCCAGGTGGGGGTTGGTCTCTTCTCCCAAGCAGCTATCAGTAAGATAAGAA